AAAAAAAATATTTTTTTTACTTAGCTTGAAATTTGTTTCTTTTATCAATGGTAAATTTTAAATTTATGATTAAATGCAACAAAATAAATTTAATAAAAATAAATGAAATAAAAATAAATTTAATAAATTCCTGTCCCTGAGCTGTTGGCTTTAAGTAACTGAGCAATATAGTTGCATAGCACAGTATTAATGTCTGAAAATAAGCTGCTTAAAGTCAGCATCAACCATAAACTAAATAATATTACTGTATTTATTTCAGATTTACCCCGGATTTATACTACATGCGTCTCCGCTCCACTCGGCTGCGGTGCGCAGGTCGCAGCTGTTCGTTTGTGTCTTAATTAATACAGCGTCCGTTCCGCTCCGCTCCGGTCCGACAGAGGAGATGTTGCGATAAATTCAGTGATAAATGTGGAAGTCACAGCAAAAAATTATTAATTCTGTGAAAGACGAACTCCAAACACAGCTGAAAACAACGATATGAAGGCTTTTGGTATTGATGTTGAAACTATCTCGCTGTCATCTTTTTGAAACTTCTGATTTCAAAATAAAATCCACGTGTATCGTGTGTGTACACATCTGCTTCATGCTATGTTTCCACCTGCTTCCCAAACAGAACGATACATTCTGACAGCATTTGTGTAGAAATATATCCATATATTGATTAATGTAGCTGCAATTTCGACATTATTCCGACAAATTATCCAGCCTAATAGTGTCTTATTTTGAAAATACGGATGTTGTGCTTGTTTCTTTTCCTGTTGGTGCAACGTTATCTTTAAAAATTGATTCCGGCGCAGCTCCGTCGTCTGGCAAAAATAGGATCTGTTCTAATTTTGCCGGATTGCCGTCCGCTCACCGCCGCCGTGCGCAGCCAGTKTAAACACTCTCATTGATTGTAAAGGGTGCGTATTTGCTGTGGAGGTCGGACCGGAGCGGAGTGGAGCTGGAACGCATGTAGTGTAAATTAGGGGTTTAGTCAGTCATACACTTAGTTCTTATCAGTGTTTAAAAGAAGATGTGTTAAAACACTGTTTGGTCAAAGTTAAACATGAAACGTCAAAGTTTATTACAAGTGTCCCTTTGAGGGCCACCATAACGCTCATGTGGCCCTCAGTGAAAATGAGTTTGACACCCCAGATTTAGGCTTAGTAACTTTAAAATGGAGCTATCAAAACAAAAAGCTTAATTTCTTACGTAAGAGTGCCTTTTTTATTAGATGACTACAACAGGAATATGTCCTCATGTGATGTACATTTAAAACGACATTATAAAGTCATCATCATCAGTCCTCTACAAGCAAACTCAGTTACAAAGCAGCTCTCGCTGAAGTAAATCTGCACACTGCTGGAAACGAGCATTTGTTTTTCTAACACGACTGCACTGCGGTGATTCTGTGACGCTCCGTTTTACAGATACACTGGTTCCTGAAAGCTGGGCTTGTGGATTATCTGAGGAGGAAGTAAGAGTTCAAGTTTCATTTGAGAGCAGCCCGAACTGTGAGGCAACAGCAGCGAGGTAACTCTGTTGTTACACAACCAAAAACACTGCATCACAAGACGGGGAGACAAAGATCACATCACAGACTGCAGGTCACAGAAAGAAACAAGCAACCTGCTGCACGTTCAACACGTTACAAACCTTACATAAACTGTGTGTCATCTAAGCACAAAGCATTGAAAAACTGTGAAGCTGACTTTATCTGACAAATATTTATATGACATCAATAGGTTTGTTAGTCTGAGTGATGATCTCTGTATTTCTTCATTATCTCAATATTACAGATTTTATTTATTCTCTATATTATATCTCTGCTTACTTTCCTTCCATTTCATTGTATTTGTGTTTTTCCCCTTTTTTATATTTGTATATAGAATTGATTTGTTTTAAAGAATTTAATAAATATTATATATATTTTATTTTTCCTTGGTTCCAACCGCATAATTTGAGATTGTCCTATCAAACAGGAAAAATCAAATTATTTATTTACTTATTTTGGTGGTGGTGTGGGGTTATAAAGGAAATAAAGGGACTTGACATGACATTGATTATAAATAGGAAGAAAAAATATCCAAAATCCATTTGCTATCTAATTATATTTTATTTTAGCTATAGCAGAATTTTAGCTTTTGCTCCAACAAAAGCTCTTGACTTTTCTGAGGGTCCAAACAGTCTTTTTCCACAGCACAATGGACTTT